TGCAGGTGGTGACGGAGGATGGCGCCGGGGCGTCACACACCACCTACCTCCAGTGCAAGGTGAGGTGTGGGGCACAGCCAGGGGTGGGGGTCTGTGGCTCAGCCTCACCCATCTTCTTCTGCCTCTCTCTCTTGCAGAACGTGAATGACCTCAACCAATGGCTGTCAGCCCTGCGCAAAGCCAGCGCCCCCAACCCGGGCAAGCTGGCTGCCTGCCACCCTGGTGCCTTCCGCAGCGGGCGCTGGACCTGCTGCCTCCAGGCTGAGCGCTCAGGTGAAGTGATGGATGTGACACACATTCTACCGTCTCTGGCTGCCAGTCAGCGGCATCTCACCTCCACCTCGAGAGTGTGACTTAATTTCTCTGTGCCTCAGTGTTCTCATCTGAGAAGCGGGATTGGGGATACCCTGTACCTCCTTGGTCCTGTTAGCTGATACCAAGTTGATATACTCAAAAAGTGCCATCTGCTGTGTAGTTTTAGCCACATGCAAGTCCTGTTTCCAGTGGTCCTGCTATGTGCCAGCTGCCCAGACTTGTTGAAGTTAGATGGCCATGCTGACCCACATCCCAGGTCCAGCCAGACAATTATAATGGTATTAGAATGACCAACCTGAGATTTTGTCTGAGGCCCAGCCCCAGGGGGGAGACCAGGAAGGCTACCTTGAGGAGGTGTTGCTTTGAGTGGCTAGAGTTGAGTGGGGAGGGTGATGCAGAACAGGAATCAGGCTGAGCAGAGGGGGCTTGGGCAGGGCTAATAGACCATTATGGTCTGTTTTAGCTTCCCTTCTCTTTCTGGGACAAAACACTCTGCCCAACTTAGGGGAAGAAAATGTTAGTCTGGGACCATGTAGTAATGCCATTTGCTAGCTCACCCGTGAGTTCACACTCAGCCAGCTTTCTGATGCAGCCCAGGGCCATCTGTGTAGGGAATGGCACCGCCCACAGTGGGCTGGACCCACTAACAATCAACGCAGACTTGACTTGATTATCTTATAGGATAATCTGATCTGGGCATTCTGTTATTTGAGAGCGTCCTCTCAGACAGCTCTACACTGTGTCATGTTGCTAAAGCTTGACAGGGTTAGGGTTCATGATGGAGGCTGGGGGGGGGGGTTGCTGGGGAGGAGACTAGAACCCAGGCAGGAGCTACAGGGGGGCTTGGCTAAGAGGAGACTTGCATAGGTGTTGGGTAAGCTGAAGTCAGGGTGCGATTGCGCCTGGGACAAGACTTTCCTGACAACGCCGTGTACCCTCAGCTGCTGGCTGTAGCCGCACACACTCAGCCGTCACACTGGGAGACTGGAGTGACCCACTGGATCCTGACGCCGAGGCCCAGGCGGTGTATCGCCAGCTGCTCCTGGGGCGGGACCAGCTCAGGTGGGTGTCCTCTGCCTCACCCCACTGTGACTTCCTCACATTCATTCATCTCTGAAGAAGTGTTTCCCTCCCTCAGGGTTTCATGTAGCCCAGGCTAGCCTCGAACTTGTCATAGGGCAGATGTCCTCCCGTTTGTATTTGCTCAGTGCTGGGCTTACAGGTGTGCGCCACCATGCCTGGTTTATGTGGTGCTGGGGATCTCGCCGCATAAGCTCCGGCTTCATGCGTGCATGTTAGGCAAAGTCTACCAACTGAGCTGCAGGCTCAGCCGTTTTCTTCCCGTTCTTCTTCTGTTTGCCGGTGCTGGGGATGGAACTCTGAGCCTTATACTCCGCTGAGCTTAACCTCAGCCCCGTTTACCCATCTTCAACCATCCTGGCTAAGCTTTCAGAGGTGTGTGAGCCACCATGGGGCCTCAGTATCCAGGGATTCAGGACTTAGATCTCTAAGGCAGACTGGGAGCATCTCAGTTAAGGTTTCTATGGCTGGGACGAGACGCCATAGCCAAGGTGACCTCTAAAAGAAGGCTTTTAACTTGGGGCTTATGGTTGTGAAGGGTTAGAGACCATGATGGCGGGGCAAAGACATGACGGCAGGAATGGCTCAGAGCTCACATCTTGATCCCGAAGCAGAAGGCAGAGAGAGATTAACTGGGAACGGTTTGAGTCTTTTGAAACCTCAAATCGCACTCCCAGCGATGCCCCTCCTTCCACAGAGGTCACACCTCCTCCAAAGGCCACACCTCCTCCAAAGGCCACACCTCCTCCCACAAGGCCACACCTCCTCCCACAAGGCCAC